GTACCTGTATTCGCAACAATTGGCCACAGAATCGGATCTATTGATTGATTTGGAGTTTCAGTACTCAGTCTATAGACTCGCCGATAGGTTTCAAATCAAACGACTTCTCAAACGATACGAAACCAAATTGAAAGACAAAATTACTGAAGAGAATCTCGAATTGGTTTCGAGAATTGCTTTCAATTATAAAATCGATTCTTTGATGAATTCTGTGAAGGAATATATCGACAAAAACTTTCGTAAACTGACGCTCGAAGACAGCGATTATGTCAAACAAATCAATGTCTTAACGGATGACTATTTGCTGATGAAAATGATACCAAAGCAGCGCAAAAAAGCCAGAAATAATTAAACAACTATTTTCATTACAATTAATATATCGTTTAATTACATAACATTTAAACTCATATTTTGACTATAATTTTGTATAAAACTCCTATAATAGTGATTATGGTATCAAATGCTTGTATTCAATACTTTTGTAAAACATTTTGTCTGTATTTTTATAAATAAATCATAATTACTTTAATTATAAGACTAATTGTTTCTCATTGAAAATCTAGTCGTATTTAAAAACGTGTAAACCTGAGTTAACCAAATTTTAGGGATTGTTTACAAAACAAAGGAGGGACTTCCGTCAGTCACTGTTAAGATTATTTAAGTGATTAGGTGCGAGAGATCACACAAATCGGACATTGTTAAATTGTGCAAGGGATCACACTTTTAATGTACTGATGATACAGATTTGTGTGTTGCCTTTCACTGAATATTCCATATCCACAAAATTGGAAAATACAAGCAAAATTTGGAGCTTTGTATTATACAATGTATTTTTACTTAATATGGAGGAAAAATAACATGTTTTAAAAACAAAAATTAAACCACTTTAATTCATTTATCTTATCATGTAATATCATTTTAATCACAAATTATTTCACATAAAATTCAATTATAAACAATGTACTGTTGTTTTATTATATTTATTATTAGTTTTATGTGAATATCGAATTTAATTATTCATTATAGAGAATAAAATTTGTTAACTATAAATTGCGGACATCATATATTAATAGACTCAAAATAATTGACTTAGTTTAGGTTAAAATTGTTTTAGCGCTTATAAAATGAGCTTTAAATTTTCCTTGTATTTTTCCAACCCTAATTATAAATGCTTACTATAAAACACGACATTATATGTATAGACCACTGATAAAACAAGTCACACAAATCGGACATTCAAATTGTGTGAGGGATGAATAAACGTTTTCTGCTTCACACAATTTTCAAATTATGTGAATCTGAACGCATAGTTGTAATTTACAGTAAATAATTGGATACGTTATTTGTGGATATGGCATATTCAGTGAAAGGCAACACACAAATCTGTATCATTAGTACATTATAAGTGTGATTCCTTGCACAATTTAGCAATGTCCGATTTGTGTGATCGCTCGCACCTAATCACTTAAATAATCTTAACAGTGACTGACGGAAGTTCCGCCTTTTGTTTGTAAACAATCTCCAAACTTTGGTAAATCTGTCTTTACATTATATAAGGGTTTGACTGTAATTGATGTCTCAGTTCAGGCATTCATTTGTTTGAATATTTCTATTGTTGACAATAATTACGTTCTAAATATCGAAATAAAAACCAAACGTTTTTTTATGAGACAAACACTGGATTTAACCGACGGTTGAGTTGTTGTCAACACATCTGTCATTCAAACCAATCAATCAGTGTTTTGTCAATTCATTATCACTTTAACGGATCCAAAGAACCAATACTACTGTCTATTAGTGTCCTCAAGAGACATTCATTAGACAAGCGATCAGACAATGAATGGTATCTCTGGTGAAACTCAAGAGGGTATGTATTGTGTTGTATATGTCGTACACTATATATGACTATAACTACAATTGTATTGCCATTTGCAGAGAGGGGTCGGTCTGAGGCCACCATCAGGTTTGTGGTCAATGGTGTCAACCAATTGGATGACAATAACCTGTACAGTGCCGTCACATACATCCGACACTTACCCTGGTATACAACACACCCCACCCCTGATATTCACTAATTCATAACTGATTACTAATGTGTGAAATATTAGGCAAATATTTGTCAGAATTATTGAAATGAAGACCACATCGGGTGACCCGCCGTTGGAAGTGATGACTAAATATTTGTTGTGTTCTGTCTGTTGTGATCAACAGTCGAGGGCTAAGTATATGTTATTGTATTGTTTGCCACTAAATGTCACTAATTATATGTCTCTTCACTGCTAACAGACGCCTCACTAACAACTGGTCATGTAATGCGAGGGTTGAGCTGACACTCGTCGCGCAGTCGGCCACCGGACACAGCATTAAGCGAAGTGAGTGAACCGATAGACACACCCGACACGTGTGTGTCCGACAAATAACATATTATTGTTAATTGATTTTTTAATACAGACTTTGCGCACAAATACATATCTGCACAAAACAATGGTTGGGGGTACACTCAATTCATAGCATTTAATGTGATTTATAATTTATTTAAGATTTTATATACAATTGATTTCTATATAAATTATTTATGTTTAGGATTTACTGAAAACCGAAAAGGGTTTCACTAAAGACAATACTATTGTCGTGGAGGCGAAGGTCAGCGCCGATCGACCCTATGGTGTGATTATGCGTTCAAATTTGGGCAATATTTTTGCCACAATTCAAAGGGTAAACATTTACTGATATAATAGATAATGGGTTAAAACATTTAATTTATTTATTTAGAAATCCGTTGATATATATCCAGAATTGGCTTATTTTATGAACGAATCCATGAGTGATGTTGTGTTCAAAGTGGAGGGCAAACCCATTCCGGCCCTCAAAGAGCTGTTGTCCGTTAAATGCGAGTATTTTCGTACAATGTTTTCGGGTAATTATACCGAAAGCGAAGCCAAAGAGATTGAAATCGTCGACACGACTCACGAGGCGTTCAAAACAATCATTTGGTACTTGTATTCAAACCAATTGGCCGTCGATTCGGACGATATGTTAATCGATTTGGAGTTTCAGTTTGAAGTCTATAGACTCGCCGATAGATTTCAAATCAAACGACTTCTCATTTATTATGAAAACCAATTGAAAGCAAACATTACTGAAGAGAATCTCGAATTGGTTTCAAAAATTGCATTCACTTATGAAATCAATTCTTTGAAGACTTGTGTGAAGGCATTCATTGATAAGACATTTGATAAACTGATTCTCGAAGACAGCGAATATCTGAAGAAAATCAATGGCTTTACTGATGACTATTTGTTTGATAAATCCATCGAAAGCGGCCGCAAAAGGGCCCGAAATGTGTGAAAGTATTTTCACTATAAATGCTTTATTTATTAATTGTTTATTTAATGCTTTTTATCCTAAATTGTAAATTTTTGTAAACGTTTTAAATTCATACGGTATATTAGTAATTGATTATATATTATAAGTTAAATTATAATTACATTTTCAGAAATGCATTTTAAGTAACATTTTAATTTTGTATAACTTTTAAACCCGTGTTTTGACTATAATTTTGTGTAAAACTTGTTAAATTCCTATAATATTTACTTAAATGCTTGTATTCATTATTTTGTAACACATTTTGTTTCTTATTATAAGTAAATTATAATTATTTTAATTATAATACTATTTTTCATTAAAAATTTAATTGTATTGAAAATCGCGTACATTATATCGGGAGTTGAATGTAATGGTTATGATTGACAGCTCAGCCAATCGTCTGTTTTCTTACTGTTGTTTACATTCAGTGTTTCAATCGGTGGCCAATAATTACGTTCTAAATATCGACAAAAAAAACTAAACGTTTTTTATGAGACAAACACTGGATTTAACCGACGGTTGAGTTGTTGTCCGAAGCGGTGGTCAACACATCTGTCATTCAAACCAATGTTTTGAGTGTTTTGTCAATTCATTATCACTTTAACGGATCCAAAGACCCAATACTACTGTCTATTAGTGTCCACACAATCGGTAACTCATCTCAAGAGACGGACAGACATCCCATCAGACAAGCGATAAGACTAGTGTTTTGTCAATTCATTATCACTTTAACGGATCCAAAGACCCAATACTACTGTCTATTAGTGTCCACACAATCGGTAACTCATCTCAAGAGACGGACAGACATCCCATCAGACAAGCGATAAGACAATGGATTGGATCTCTGGTGACACCTCCGATGGTAAGCACATGTATTGTCACATATCGTACGCTATGTATAGAGAGTTCACTATAAGTGGTGTTCACTAAACAAATACACTATAATTGTATCGTTATTTGCAGAGAGGAGTCGGCCGTCGGGTGTCATCACGTTTGTGGTCAAAGATGTCCACCAATTGAATACCACTGATTACCGATACAGTGCTGTCACACACGTGCGACACTTACCCTGGTATACAACACACACCCCTTTCCTAACCTCTCTCCCAATCCATGCATTCATTCATTCAATAATACGCTGAAATATTAGGCAAATAAAGGCCAAAGTGTGCGAAATCAGGACCACTTCGGGTGACCCGCCGTCGGTAGTGATGACCAAAAAGTTGGGCTGTTTTGTCATTTGTGGCGATGAGTCGCGGCCTAAGTATATGTTATTCTTAATTATTTACCACTAAATGGTGTCAATTATTATTGTTTAATCACTTTAATCACACATCACTTCCCTTCCCCTTCACAGACGCCTCCCTCCCAACTGTAGTTGCGTTGCGAGGGTTGAGCTGACACTCGTCGCGCAGTCGGCCACCGGACGCAACATTACCGGCGGTGAGTGAACACCGATAAGACATACCATACGTGTGTTGTGTCTAACAAATTGCATAATTATTTTGAATTGATTTTATAATATCAGGTATTCATCACAAATACATATCCGAAGAGAAGAATGGTCGGGGATGTTATTTCGTTGCATTTGACGTGATTTACAAATTTTTATATATTTTTAATTGAATATACAATTAATGTTTTGGTTGTTTACCCGGTGTTTAGGATTTATTAAATCCTGAAAAGGGTTTCATTAAAGACAATACGATTGTCGTGGAGGCGAAGGTCAGCGCCGGTCGACCCTATGGTGTGATTATGCGCTCAAATGCGGGCAATATTTTTGGCACAATTCAAAGGGTTAGTACTTTTACTGATACCCCCTCTCGATAACGATCCGATTTTTAGATAATTTAATTTATTTGTTTAGAAATTCAGTGATTCGTATCCGGAATTGATTTACTTTATGAACCAATTCAACAGTAATGTTGTGTTCAAAGTGGAGGGCAAACCCATTCCTGCCGTCAAAGAGTTCTTGAGCTTTAAAAGCGATTATTTTCGGTCAATGTTTTCGGGCTGTTATGTCGAAAGCGACGCCAAAGAGATTGAAATACAAGACACGACTTACGAAGCGTTCAAAACAATCATTTGGTACTTATATTCAAACCAATTGGCCATCGATTCGGACGATATGTTAATTGATTTGGACTTTGAGTACTCAGTCTATAGACTCGCCGATAGGTTTCAAATCAAACGACTTCTCGATTATTATGAAAACCAATTGAAATCAAACATTACTGAAGAGAATCTCGAATTGGTTTCGAGAATTGCCTTCAATTATAGAATTGATTCTCTAATGATTTGTGTGAAGAAATTCATTGATAAGACATTTAATAAACTGATTCTCGAAGACAGCGATTATCTGAAGAAAATCAATGGCTTTACTGATGACTATATGTTTGGAAAATCAATTGAAAATTATCGCAAAATTCTCGCTGTTGTGAAGAAATGCGCAAATTTTGTTAATCTTTTTAATAATGACTTTATTTATTAATTGTTTATTCAATTGTTTTTTATTTTCAAATGTTTTTAGCCTTAAATTCCTGTAAAGATTTTAAATTCACATAATTTTCATTAATTTATTACAAATGTTGTCTCATTTTATAATTACATTACATAAACATTACATGAATTTAATTATTTGATAAAATATTATAACACAAAAAACAGACCAAAAATACAATGAATTGTAAATACCGTAATACCTGGCTTAGTAGTGCATGCAATACTAAGTCAATTTCAGTAAAATCGTGTTTTTCAAAATCATATGCAATCTTATCTAGGTAGTATTGCACCCCTTCACTAAAAATGACATATGATT